GAGGCCGCCCGGGTCCGGAAGCATGAAGATCGCGCAGACCTCAGCGCGAGACGTAACGTCTGGGAGACCTGGCACGCTGCTGAGCCCCTGAACCCCAGTATCCTCGTCCGAACACTAAGGAGAGTGAACCAGAAAATAAGCTGCCGTTTGTGTGTATGGAAGCAGTTTCCGTTTTATTGTCTGTAAAATGGGATGCTATTAAAAGTCCCATAGTCTTAGGGCTGTTTTGAAGAAAAGATGAGATAACGCACATTAAGTATTTACCACAAAACCTGATACACACTTTACTCATCCACCGTCCAAGTTATGGAGACCTAGGCTGCCTTCACCTCCTTGTTGCTACAAACAATGCCACAATGAACATCTTCCTATATATCCCCTTAAGAACCTGTATGAGAATTTCTATGGAATACGTAACCGGGAGCTGAATTGTTGGGTCATGGGCATGTGCATACTTAACTTGACTCAGCAGTGTTACACTTTTTCTCGATTCTACATTCCCGTAAGCAGTGCAAGAGAATTTTAAAATCTTCATATCCCAGCTGACACTTGGCAGTGTCTAGCTGTATAATTTTTGTCTGAAAAACAAATGCAATTTCACATTATTGTTTTAATCTACATTTCTCTGATTATCAGTGATTTGTATCTCACGTTGTTTATTAGTTTGAGGGGGTTCCTGCTGTATTTTTCTTGGGTTTTGTTCTTGTTTACATACAAGAGTTCCTGGTGTGGGAACATAATCATCTATGGTTCAAACCACCATCAACTCTCCCACAGATTATTACAATGATCCCCTTATTAGCCTCCTTGCTTCCACACTTGTACCCCTGAACTTTAATCTTGAAATAGTTTTCCTTGTAGAACACCAATTCAAATCAGGTTGCCCCCTCTGCTCAAATCCCTCAAATGATTTCCAATTTCACTCAAAAGCCAAAATCCTTACATTTGTTTCTAAGGTCTATTATCTCACCTCAAATATTTCATGTGTGCTACCATACTTAATGAAGAAAATTAGAAAACTAAAAGAAATATGTAATGTAATACTCTTGTTGTTAATTAAAAGCACATGCCTGCAAAAGTGCAACATACATTTCACAAGAACACATTCAAATACATATCAAATACATTAACATGGTTGCCTACGGGGGGGGG